TGCTCTCTCAGTTACTCTGCTCATCATGCTCTCTCAGTAACTCTGCTCCTTAGTTACCGTCCCCCTCCTGGGTGGTTCCTGTGCTCCCCCCTCACTAAGTTACCGTGCTCTTCGTCGCTTGCTGTGCTCCTCACTCAGTTACTATCGTCCTCCCTGGCTACTGTACTTCTCAGCAATGATGCACCTCATTCACTGCGGTTTTGCATAGTTGCTGTCTCCTCTCCCAAATCCAGTGGCTCATAATATACCTAGCACGTCCCCGGCAACACCTGGCTGAACAAATGAAGGCCCCAGCGAATCTGGGCCACTGGATACTGGGCCCAGACCCACAGGAGCAAATATGGGAACCCTGCACAATCTGTGACCAGGGAATCTGGACTGGTTCTAACATTCAATACAGATGGTGTTGCATAGTTGCTGTCGCCTTTCCCAAATCCAGTGGCTCATAATATACCTAGCACTTCCCCGGCAAACACCTGGCTGAACAAACAAAGGCCGCAGCGAATCTGGACCCTTGGATACTGGGCCCAGACCCGCAGGAGCAACAAAAGGGAACTCGGCACAGGGAGAGAAAAGAGGGCATGCAACATTGTACCTTATGCAGTGTGCGAAGGCCTATAGCAAATCTGGACGAGGGCCCACGACATATGGAGATTCATCACAGATGAAGCGCGCACCCAGGAGATAACCTGAGTATCTTCAGGGGCTTCCTCGGACCCAAGGGACCGGAGAAATATCAGCAGGAGTTGTGACGAAGAAAAAAAAAGAAAAGAGAAAAAAAGATTGAGGCGGCTGGTACAGAGCTGTGGGTAGTATGGAGAAGAAGGTGCAAGGAAGTAATAAAGCGAAAATGAGAGTCAGCCTCGATGGCCTCCAAACGTTTGATTCCTTTCATGAATCGCATCCGCGAACGAGGATTTGAAACCCAGATACTTTGCTCCCCTTCATTGTGTGGGTGACACACCCGAGCCAAGGGTCCGCAGGAGAGAACTACGTGGGCTCATCAAACTAAAGACCCGAGTCAAAGCTTTGACTAAAAACTTTGACTACCCAAAGTAGTGGAGAAATATCAGGAGAAGTTGTTAAACAAACATGTTTTCAAAAAAAAAAAAACAAAAAAAAAACACCAATTCTTGGCCCAGCCATTGGCCGCAGCACTTCCCCGTTAACGTGCTGCGGCATTTGGTCTTCGGGCTACCAGACCACAATGGCTGGAGGCGCCAGCCAAAAAGAAAATATAAGGTCGCGCTGGCGGTTCGTGAAAAATTGGGCGCTCTGAGGCCCAGGATCGATAGCTGGGCCAACTACTGGTGGTTTAAGAAGATTGAGGCGCCTGTTAAGTCATCGAAGCTGTTGCGAAAAAGCAGGATTAAACCTGGAAGCTGACAAGCGAGGTGTTGCTTTTGTCATAGTCTCCCCGGTTACGGTGTGTATAGAGCAAACTTTTATCTATAGAATGAGAAGATTCAGAATTTTGTTTTCATCATGAAAAAAAGATGAATCCAATAAAATGAAATAAATTAAAAAAAAAAAGACATATACATAGTAGATGTTTATATTTTGTTTGAATACTTGGCGGTAGTTTCGCAATTGGGGGTCATCGTCGGACGTGGTACATAGTTTGCTTGTGTTCAAAGCCCCTTTGTTAGGGCAATTAGGACTGTCTTATGAAAGTCCGCGTTGCACCCGTTGATTACGGGAAGTGGTCCGACGGTTTCGTGTCTGGTGGAAGACAGGTGGAGTAACGCTTAGTGAAGAGCGGGAACGGAGAGTTTTGCTACTACTGCGAACAGATGCGGCAGAGCATTTAAACCACAAGTACTTCCTAAAGTTGAGCCCGTTAATAAGCCACAGTTTTAGGAAAAGTACAGGCCACTGCAGGAGTGCCCAAATACATCCGACTACAAATGTTTCTACTCTATTTTTTTTCCATGGCGGATAGCTGGGCCCAAGTACTGGTGGTTTAATAAATACTTGTTGTTTCGCCGGACGTGTCTGGCTACGACCTTTGCATGCACTGTGCATGTGTGGAATCGTGCGAATTGTGTCAGTCTGCAATCTTAAATTCGCCATCCAATGGACCAACTGAAAAAGCAG